ATATTAGATTCTATGTTAAATTATCTCTTAACTTTATTTTAATGAATCATGATCCAGTATTACTAAATGATATGTTATCATATTCGGTATTGAGTATGTTTTAATGAATGATAATGATTTTGTGCCGTCACGAAATAATATTCCAATATCCCCTAGATACTTGCTCTGTTTTAGATAAAGAAAGTCAAGATTTTTTATAGAAAAGAATTCTAAACATTTTGAACAATGATTACCACAAGGTCCAATCAACGATCGATGATTTACCCATGAATAAATAAAGCGAGATAGTAAATGTAGAAACTGGTACCAAGTCCATTCATTAAAATTTTCTGTTACACATGGTATTGAAACATCATGACGTCCAAAGCAAAGATCTAGTTGGATAACAAGAAACGCATGAATTATATTTGCCAGTAAACGTCTATGAATACGAAGTATCTGATAATAACCACCATTGAGTGCTTCTTGATTCATGTAAGGGGCGTATCCCATCATAGATATATCATGCTACACTGAATGTGGAATAAATCTTCCATTTATACCACGTTCCATAGCTATGTCACCGTTCAAATAAACATAAGGGCCAAATAGGAGAGAACTGGGTGTGGGTGTGTGAGGTGTGGGTGTGCGAGGTGTGGGTGTGTGAGATGTGGGTGTGTGGGCGTGGGTGTGTGGGTGTGGTGTCGGGTGTGGATGAGAAAACAACCACACCCGACACCCACACCCTGCATTTGAATTATTCCATCAGGTTTCCATTGTGAATGTGTTGAACCTGTACCAAAACCTGTATGTTGTTGTTCTTGATTCAATATGTTCAATATCATCTTCATAATATTCATCATCATCACTATCAATTATTGTTGCATTATTTATTATTGTTGTTGTTGATGGAATAGATCGTGATGTTGATATTAAATCTTTTTGTTTACGATGTGGATGACATGTTATTGATGATAAACATGAAAGTAATAAAAGTAGAATACTTGAATGTAAAATTTTTTTTTGCTGTGGGTGTAGCTTGTTGATGTCTACAAGGTGAAATGACTTTCGATTGATTCCAAGATACTTGTGTTTTTTATGGTCGAAACTCCATGGAATAGCCCCTATATTAATTTCAACTTATGATATATCTTTATCATCTTATAAAAATTATCATTCATTATGCAATAATTGATGTTATTTAATTTTATTATTCAAAGATAACAACTTATACTTTAAAAATGCTTATGTTTACTAATCTCAATTTATTATATATCATATCGTCAAATAATAATATATTATACAAAATCAATATTATTCAAAAAATTTTATTTTATTTCAAACAACAAAATTATATTTAAATGTTCATCTACATTAATTTCAACTTATGATATATCTTTATCACCTTATAAAATTATTAGTTATTATGCAATAATTCATATTATTTAATTTTATTATTCAATGATAACAACTTATATTTTTAAAATGCTTATATTTAGTAATCCCAATTCATTATATATTATATCGTTAAATAATAATTTATTATACAAAATTAATGTTATTCAAATTTAATTTTATCTCAAACACCAAAATTATATTTAAATGTTCATCTATATTAATTTCAACGTATTATATATCTTTATCATCATATAAAATTATCACTTATTATGCGATAACTCATGTTATTTAACTTTATCATTCAAAGACAATAACTTATATTTCTAAAACGCTTAATCTCAATTCATTATATATTATATTATCAAATAATAATTTATTATACAAAATTAATATTATTCAAAAAAAAAATTATCTTATTTTAAACAACAAAAATTTATATTTAAATGTTCATCTATATTAATTTCAACTTACGTAAACGTTTTAAAAATGAAGAAACAAATATAAAAACGAATGAAAATGACGATGAACATTTTGATGATATACTGGAATCAATTTATATTGAAAAACTTCTTTCAATACTTTCAATATGTCATTCATCACTAGATTCATTACCATCAATACCATTAAATTCTTCAACAAAATTTCTTGCTGCATCAATAACATCAACAAATCAATATTCATCATTTATACATAAAACAATACATTTAAATATAAATGATCTAATATCTGTTGATGATAGTATTTATTATTGTTTATCATCATTTATATCACAACCAAATTATTTTATACCAATAATTCATCATTATTTAACAACAAATCCATGATTATCATCACCATTATTATTATTTATTATTTACTCAATACGTAATACAAAAATATTATTTGAAATATTAAATCAATATAATTTTCTTGATTTATTAGTTAATAATTTAATAATATATTCAAATTATTTATCAAATCAAACACAAATACCATCAATACAATGTACTTATGACCAAAGACAATCATTAAATAATACAATGGGTATATGTTCAATAAATTTATCATCACAATGTCAAATAACATGTTCGAATCCAAATGCAACATCACCTGAAATATTAATACAATCAAATAATAATCTTCAAACAACAATAACATCATTATCACGTCGTTTACGTTCACCACCATGGTCATAAACATATTTACCTAATGAACAACGTTGTACATTAATATTACAATTTCCACATTCAATTATATTGAAATCTATACAAATAATACTATTTACACAATTATCAATTAATCATTATACAATAATGGATCAATTAAATACAAATTTAACACAATATCCATCATCAATAACATGTGAAATATCATCAGATGGTTATTATTTTATACCATGTAGTTATTTATTAAATACACAAGGACAGCAAACAATTAATTTATCATCAACAAAACCAATTGATATTGTTAAACAACTACGTATACATTTTTATAAACCAAGTGATCATGATACTATTGGTTTACAACAAATTTCAATACATGGTTATCATGCATATGATCAACAAATGATTATTGAACAAATAAGTCATCCATATCAAACATTAATATCAACAGTTTAGGGTAAACAAAATTCTACATAATAAAAATTCTAATACATCAATAATAACAACGTTAAATGATGATAATAATATTAAATGAATGTATACATCAATAAATTCCTCAACAACAAATATAAATATAATTGATAATAGTCATCAAATATCAATGATATTATCAGATAAATATCGTTCATTTAATCATTATTTACTATTAATACATTTATGTTTAAAAAATTCATTAACATTAAATGATAAGTTATTTGAAAAATTTCTTTTTATACTGAAAGAAAAAAAATTTTTTTGCATATTTGAAAAAATTTCTTTTTATACTTAAAGGAAAAAAAAATTTTTGCATACAAATAATTTTCTTTTTAATGAAATATTTATTTTTATTGGTAATCATTGTACAGATAAACAATTCGATGTATTTATTAAATATTTAATTAATTATAATTATTTTAATATTTTATCAGAAATAAAAAATTTTAACGAAAAAAAAAGAATATTTATTATTTAATGAATAATATTGATCATTTAATTAACGAACAAATGAAACAAATTATTAATAATATTTTATGGAAAATAAAAGAAGATAGTATAAAATTAGATGAAAATTTATTAGAATATTTATTAAAAAAAAATTATACATGGTTATTACCATCAATAGCATATTATAAACCATTATTAGTTATGAATTATATTAATAAAAATGAAACACTTATTGAAGATTTTAAACAATTAAAAATATGTTCATTAAGTGTTGAATTTCTTAATGAAATATTAAATAATGAATAATTAATTAACCCTTTCAAGGCCAAATTTTGGATAGCAAATTTCTATCGATATTTATGGCTCAGGCAGACAGATCTTAATTCAGATTATCATGCGCGAGGATCAGGTCATGTTACATAGCTATTTATAGTGACCGATATGAGTATAATTTATACAAAAGATTTAGTATAGCGAGAAAAATGAAATAATTCTTTTCCTGCTTTGATACATTGGATTTTCATTTCGCAGAGTGTGGGTGTGGGTGTGGATATGAATGAAAGCAATACTTAAACCCACACTCACACCCAGAAGCTAATCCTATCTATGCACTATTATCGTTCTTTCTACCAGAATCAATTTTCCTGATTTATTATAGTTTTCTGACCAAAAACAAAAAAGTGGGACATATGTGTCCCACTGGCCTTGAAAGGGTTAAATCAATTGAAGAAATAAATCAACAAATTCAATATATATCAAATAAAACATCAAATTATTTATTAATTCATCATGGACTTGATTATTTAATAAAAATAAGTAAATATGCAAATGTACAAATATGGTTTTCAAAAAACAATAATTGCATCAAATGTATGAAAATATTTACTTGATCTATTTAATAATCTAAATATATCATCATTCGTACAATCACCATGTATTTTATTAACACAATTAATAACACTTTCAAGAAATTTATCTGTACAATGTCCAACAAATCAAACAAATATGTCATTAATATCATTTTATTTAGATTATTTAACTGAACAACGTCTTGAACAAGATAGTCCATTAACAGGATATTTACAATATATATTACTGGAAGTTGTACTTAAACATGAATATATACAATGGTTAATAAATACACGAGATTATCCAATAAATATACGATTGTCCAATATCAATAAATATTGGACAATTGATTGAAAAATTATTTGGTTTTAGTTGTTTACAAGCTAATATATGGACAGCTACAAATTATATTAAAAATAAAAATTATTGAATAAAAGCATCAAGTGGACCAATAAATAATAATCATAGAAGAAAAATACCACGAGCTGATTTAGTTTCATTAAGATCAACAACACAAGGGAAATTAAAAACAAAATCAATTAGTCCATTATCAAGTTTAGCTAAACATCAAAAATTATCATCAAAATTAACAACAACAAATGAATCATCAATATCAAAAAAAACTTCATCAATAACACCTGTAGAAAAAAATTGTACATTTTATTTTACATATTAATGGACAAAAAAGACAATGTATTCTACCAAAAACTACACGATTAAGTGATGTATTATTATCATTTGATTGTCGATCATTAAATACGGATGAAGTTGATGTTATAGAATTTACTTTTGATAATCGTATTTTAATTAATGATAATCAAGAAAATGAATTTATGACACATATATCAATAGTTGCAAATAAAGATTATCCAACATTACTTGATATATTTGTTCATGCTAACGTTCTTAAAATTCTTGCACAACATTTTGCTCGTAATTATCCATCAATACAATCTTACGATGAATGTTTGACATCATCATCGTCAAATACAAATATATTCGATAAAATAAATTTCTTTCATTTTTCACCATTAGTTTCAACATCATCATCATCTACAAATTCTTCAAATAATATGACAATGCTATATTATGTACTTATAACATTTTTAATATTTCTCCATTTACCAAATTATGCATGTGCTATGTTATAAAAAAAAATTTTACATTCAAGTATTCTACTTTTATTACTTTCATGTTTATCATCAATAACATGTCATCCACATCGTAAACAAAAAGATTTAATATCAACATCACGATCTATTCCATCAACAACAACAATAATAAATAATGCAACAATAATTGATAGTGATGATGATGAATATTATGAAGATGATATTGAACATATTGAATCAAGAACAACAACATACAGGTTTTGGTACAGGTTCAACACATTCACAATGGAAATCTGATAGAATAATTCAAATGCAGAAATTACATGAAGAACATGTTATTCACTCATTTGATATATTTTATTCAATATTTTCAAATAAATTATCTGAAGAATTACTTGATGATAATTTAATTGAAATAATGAATACATCATGTTTTATACCAGTGCTTGAATCATATTTACGTAATGATTCTATATTAGATATGTCAAAACAAGGCGATATACATCGTTATTGTTTACGTTTAGTTAAGTGTTGATTAAATAATAATAAAAAAAAATAAAAACATGTAATTTATAATACAAGTAATACTGAATATTTAATTGATAACCTTTTACAATGTGTACAAACATATACATCAATGATACGAATTGATGATGATGAACAACTAAACTTAATTTCTATTGGAATAAAAAAAAGTTTATGATAAAATATAACAAGATAAACAAATTGAAAATAATTATTATAAACAATTAAATATAAACAATAAAGATGAATTAATAACATTAGAAGTATTTTATTGTCAAACAATGAAATTATTACAATTTAGTACATATCCAATAACAATTGAAAATGAGACAAATGATAATAAAATATTATTTAATAAAAAAAACTTAAATGTCATTACGATGAGATTGGAAGTGATGTAGTAACAATAAATTCAATGCAAAGAATAAAACGTTTAGCACAAGAACAAACAACTATATCAACATCATTACCATTATCATTTAGTTCAACAATATTTGTACGTTCAAATAAAAATCGTATGGATAGAATGAAAATATTAATAACAGGTCCTGATGGTACACCACGCACACCCCACACCCACACCCACACCCTCAAGTGTTGAGCAGAGTACTTGCGGAGCGCACAACGAAGATCGACTCGATGTTTGAAAGTTATAGCACAGCCAGGAAGTCGGACAAGTATCCTTGTTACTACCTGAATATTGACTGCAAAGCGGCACTGAACAGCTAGCCGAAGAACGCGCAGTTACACCTATTACATGACATTTTTTCTTAATGTTTAATCAGGTAAAATGAACAAACTTTGTGATGAAAAACGAAAATTTCTTTTCAACGATACCTGAGGGGAACCTCAGGAACCAAAACTAATGATGTGATTTTTTTCAAAATAAACCTGAAATAAATAATCAGGGGTCACCCCATATTCACACCTAATAGAAACAAATTAGTCCTAAAGCAGTTTAAAAGATTTGGTCTTATCCACTCTCCTCCTTTAACGTTCACTTTTCCTTTTCTTTTCTCTATTCGTGACTAGAATCAGCATAAAAACGATACATTCCTTTCAACACGTCTAAAGAGGAGCAGAACCAGATGGAAGAAGTGAGAACAATTTAAACAACATATTTTGATGAAAACGTGAGAGAATCACTGGTATCTAGCAAGACGAGTAGAGGAACAGGCAATAACAAGAACGAAAACGCATAACGAGGAGGTAGTATATCTTAAGGACAGAGAAGATGTAGAATTGTGTTTGAAACGAGATCCTAGCATTCATTTTTCAGAATTTGTACAACCCTTATATTTCTGATGAAAATATAAGGTCAATAGGTCGAACATATTTGACGATTCTTCCTCACCAACAAAATAGTTATGATCGAGAATTTTCCTTTGTCAGGTTTAAGTTTTTGCATTCTCTGGTAGAAAGAAATGAAATTAATATAGAAACTATATTTTGATTCACTATTAACGAAGAGTACGCTATTCTCTCTTTCTTTTTACTTTGCAGAGAACACTGATGACAACTATTTCTTGTTTTTTTCTGCGGAGAAAAGAAAGAATGAAAATATATCGTCAAAGAAAAGGAGCGAAGGTTTACTAAACTATTCATATAATTTTAATTATAAAAAGGTTTCTGTGTTGTCGGTCAAAGACAAAACATGGCGTCCGACGATTATAAAATTTGTGCTGTTATACTATTTGTTATTCTATTGGCAATTGGTGTTGGTATATATTATCGTGAAGAAATAGAAAAAGTTTTTGATGACTCTCCAAAACTTATTTTTCGTAATGAAACATCGATCAAAGCGTTTACAATAAAAAAATATTACAGACCCAACACATTTTTTTATAATAAAATAACAATTCATGCGGCTAACGATCCAAATGAAACAGAACTGTATCAAATCCACTGGAATCACTCGATAACAATGACATTAACAAGAATCAGAGACGAATTTGTTATCAGTCGAGCACAACGTCTTGATCACTTATCGTACTCATTCGAACTTTTTGCTAAATTAGTAACAAACGGAAAAATAATTCGACAAGAAACAAATGGAGGCAATTTCAACATCGAATATACAAATGATAAACATGAAACCTTGAAAATAGTGATGCGTAGTTGCAAGAAAGTAATGAAACTGCTTGTTACCGTATTTAATTGGTATGTATCGTGGTATGATACGACTCCACGCTTGGTTTCCGATAATCGTGGAACGGTAAATATCGAACTCATGAGTATAAACCAACGTGCACGTCTACAAGAGAAATCCAATATTGATTTTGATCCTGTTTTCGGTCCGACGCCTTATCCTTACATCTACGATTTGTATGTGTTAAAGTATTTGCCCGACGAATTCTATCTAACTACTCTCATTATTGGGGACCATGCATCACATAGTGATTGTCATTAAGATGAAGAGCATTAACTTAAACTGTTTGGTCTTTGTTAAAATCGAGTTATTGTGCATGTTATTCGATTTTCTGAATGTTTGTAATAACCAGAACTGATATTGCATGTTGGGTGTGGGTGTGGGTGCGTGGGTGTGGGGTGTGGGTGGGTGTGGATGTGGGTGGGGGGTGGGTGTGGGTGGGGGTGGGTTTGGGTGTGGGTGTGGGGTGTGGGTGTGGGTGTGGGTGTGGGTGTGGGTGTGAGTGTGAGTGTGAGTGTGGGTGTGGGGTGTGGGTTTGGGGAGTAGGTGTGGGTGTCCTTTTCATCAACACGCACACCCATACCCACGCCCACACCCGGGTATATTGTTCGATGGCAAATCTCTTGCTCAAGTCTTCTTATCATTTAAAGATCGTTTTGGTGATATTTTTCAAATTTGGCTCGGTCCTTGACGTCTTATTGTCGTGAGTAACATCGATGATGTGCAGCACCTTTTGACTCATCGACATATTTACGATCAAGGTGATATTACTGTTTCACAATTCGGTGTCCTCCTCCCAGGCGGACTCATTAGTCTCAAAGGTTAATTCCACTCTTCTTATTGAAAACTCATCTATAGTTATATTTAGGTGCAAGATACAAACGACACGCCGCGCTGATCCTACCATTGTTTCGTTGTGGCAAAATGATCTCCAATTTTGACTTAATTGTTGATTGCACGGACAAACTATTGACTAATTGGCGCGTTAGTTCCGCTCAACACATCCATATAGACATTCCCCAACAATGCCGAAATCTTCTACTCGCGATCTTTGGATTAATTGCATTTAACTATGATTTGGAGACGCTCGATGGCTACGATGAGACAGGAAAGAATGAGCTCACCCTGGCATTACGAGATTTTTTGAATGCATTCGAAATGGCTTTCTACATGCCAAGTAATCTATACCGTACCTATTTGAAATTGAGCCGTCAACATCGACGAGCGCTGGCAACTATTGAACGATACCTCTATCGAATGATAGATCATGAATTGACCGAAAATCCAGAATCGATAGCACAACGAAAAAGAACATGTTTGATTGCTTGGGTGTGGGTGTGTGTATCAGAGATGTCCACAGGGCAGGGCAGGGCAGCCCTGCCCTGCCCTGGTGCCCTGCCCTGATACAGGGCAGGGCGTTTTTAAAATTTTCGCCCTGCCCTGTATCAGGGCAGGGCTGGACAGGGTAGCAGGGCAGGGCAGGGCAGGACAACGCCTTGGTGCCCTGGTAATTT